AGTTCCTCACTACATGGGTACGTGGCTCCGTTACCACTCTGCAGCTCCAAGTCCTCCAGTGACTTCTGAGTCAATTACCAAGAGGCTGAGAACAACAGGTTTGGGATTTTCCATGCACAGATCCCTTTCAGAGAAGCTCTGCATGCTGCTTGGAGAAAGTAATCATTGCCTTTGGGAATTCAGAAGTCTGCTTCACTCTCAGGCTGACCTGCAGAGCTGCTTCTCTCTCTGATATTTATGTAAAATTTTATTTCTAAGGAATTTAACGTGGTTCACCGTTGGCAGTTACCTCTTTCCTATAGCTCATCAAGAACTCTTTTTGATAGCTCCTCAAGAGTTTAAATTAAGCCTGTAATTTCGGGCACCTGTAGCTGAGTAAAATAAACCCAGTTCTGCCAGCAGCTCCCTCCCCAGTAATGCAGTCACTGTTGGATGGGTGCAGTCTCCCTGTCAGTCTGTTGTTATTACAGGAATGCTGAAAACTATCCCCTAAGGTTGAGGATGCCTGAGTCACTCCGCTGAAGACAGGTTTCTAAATCAGCATCCAGTTTAGCTCAGGATTTCTGAAACACAACCACTTCCTGGGCAGTGTGATAAACAGGTACAGGTATTTTTGTCATTATTTTTGTCTCGGCTTCGAATCTTCCTTGGGGTTGCTGCTGGAGGCTTATCTGGCAGTCTCAAGCTACTGGAAAATCCCTGAGGATCTGGTAAATGAAGCCCAGAAACCCCACGTTGTGACCCAGCAGCCCTATTTTCGGCCACATCCAATATCTCAGCTATTCACATACACATACCCCGTGCTCTGGTCAGACCGTGCCTTATGCTGAGCTAACACAGAACTCAGCGATAAATATTTTAACATTTTCTGACTTCCTAGATGCCAGTACAATAGCTGGATGTGTCATTCTCCAACACACAGATTACATTCTGCCGAAACACTTGACGGTGTCACCAGGACCCTGTCAGAGATTGACCCCATCGATTCATAGCTCGCTGCGAAATCCAGGCTGTGCTGCTGACTCTGGCCTAGTAAAATGAATCCTCGTTACGGTTTCCCCCTCTGCACGTGTAATACATGGGTTTTAGCAAGCCTTTGTCAAAAGGGAATAGAGTCCTTCAGTATTTAAAAGAGGTCATCTTATTAAAAGCGAGCTTGTACCGCAAAGCCATTTTTTTTTCTTCTCTTTTCCATTTTTAGGTCAGATGATTCAGGTTTTCCTCCGTGCTTTTAACCTTTTGCCATCCGAGCGAGTTGTTCGAGGGACAGCGATGCTTCGAGGCCATTACTGAAAAAACACTGCCTTCGATAGGGTGCTTCTGTTTCACTGTCTTTTTCTTCTGTAATGTTTGCTTATCCCTTTGTTATTTTCCACTTTTCCTTAGCACTGAGCTAGCATCCTAATGAATGCTCCTCTTGTTTTTTTTTTAACCTCTCACGCTTCCCTTTTTAGCATAAAAGTCCATACAGGAGAAGGGGGAGAAAATAAAAAAGGTCTATAGCTCATCTAATCTACCAGCTTTTCATGGAAATGTATACAGAATTGCTAGTAACAGAGAAAAAAGCAGAGCATTTTAACGCTTCTCATTCTCATTTGAACAGAAATTTCCATAGCTTGCTGGATGTTCCCTCCTTGCATTTTGTTCTTCAGATAACAAAATGAGTGCAGGCTTTTATAAACTTCCCCTGTGAAAGGCAGGAGAGAGTTCCTGATGCACCTGAGGGTTGTCCTGCCTTCTAAATACTTAAAATAGATTTAAAAACATTGGCAGGAGTGTGCAAGTCTGCAAGCACACAGAGATCAAGAACAGGTAGCTGGACTGTGGAGAGAGTGATGGGAGAAGGGGTGGCAGAGCCGTGTTGAAAAATACCCTGCAGATGGATTGTGTGGTTCACAACGGCTGCGTTTGGAAAGCAGAGGCTAAATTCAGGTGTTAAAAGGGCTTTATGCTTTTAAAGGAACCCAGTATTTTATTTTGTTGGGCGTGGGGTAAATCTCTCAAAGGCAGTGGGGTTGTACGAGGCTTACATCAGTCGCTGCAAGCTGAATTTGGCCCTTTATGTTCTGTGCTTCGTAGTCATGTGATGCTATTTCCATAAATCATGCACTTGAAAGGTTTTCTTGCTTCCTGCTTTTACCAATCAGATCATATAAAATGCAGATGAACCCAGCTTCTGGTTTAGAAGCCTAAGCAGAACACCCCCTCTAAATCCCCTTTTATCACGCTGGTCCTGGTTCCCCCACCTGAAAACAAGATAGCAAGAATGACAAACTTTGACTAATACCGTGGAGTTTTTTTGGTCTCCTCCCTTTCTTATTTTGACCTGTACTTTGCTTTCGTTCTAAAGTGAACGTAGAAATTACCCTGTGGGAGTGGTGAAACTGCAGCAGAGAAACAAAAACTATTTGGATTCTTCCGAAAGCTATTCATTCGCTTGCTCTTCTTTTTATTAACGGCTCGAAGCATGCAGCTTGTCTTGTTCTGACTGCGTACCCCTCAGCAGGAATGGAGGTAATGCTTTGTGGCTCTTTTCATTTTAATAGTGCTTTATCAGAAAAGGTTTTTGTGTTTTTTCTCATTGTTATTTCAGCGACTTTGAACGTGTGTACGCAGCTCTACAGCTGCCTGGTGGGCATATTTCTATTAACCTCAGCGAGCTCCTTTTCCAGTAACTTTTTTTTTTTTTTTTTTTAGTAGAAAAACGGGGCTTTAGGTTCGGATCTGGGCTACGCAGGTGAAAATCTCAATTCTCTCCAGAGGAGGATGATGCAGAGCTGCTTCCAGCAGCCGTCAGCAAATTTGCAGCCAAAGCCGAGCCTGTAGCAGGTTTTTGTTTTAATCATACCCAAAACCTAAAGAAACATCTCTCTGCGCTCTTGGTATCAGCAGCACTTTCTGTGCTGGGGAAAGTACGTTCCTGTAAACCCATGAGTAAGTTCTGGGCGCTGCTTTCTCTGCAGCAAGGAGGTATTTTTAGCAAGTCCTTCAGTGTACAACTTCCTAAGTCTTTTCTTATTGATTCACTGCAAACGCAGGGTGGGCGGCAGGTAATTCCAAGAGGATCCTTGCCCCAAAACCGTGCCTGCTCCCTCGCTGCGGGTGCAGGCGGTCACAGCTCCGAGGCACGGGGTATGGTAAGGATGAGAGAAAGTTTTGCTTGGCTGCTGCCTGAAGTAGGAGTGCGAAGAATGTCTCTGAAATACTGCAGAGTAACTTTATGCCCCTTCACGCCTTCGCGAGGCTTTTGCACGGGGGGGAGGAAGGAAAGACAAACGGAAATCCTTTAGATTTTGCTAAGGTTTGCCGTAGATAGCCGTTTCTGGACCTGTTCCAGAGGTCTTTATTCGGCGTATTTCTCCCTTTCTCAAGTGAAAATGTTCCTGGTGGTCTCACGCAAGGCGTTAATCCCAGCACGAGCAGCAGCATCTCCTGCAAGCCACCAGCCCCGGGCTGGCTGCGTGCTCCCCGGGGCTACCAGGGGCAGGAGGAAGCCGTGGCTTCGACGGGACCACTTTAAAGGGACACCAGGAGGGAAGGACCCTCTGGTTAGCTGCCCTGCTTTAACAAAACTTTATTAGAAGCTCGTCAGTACTGGTATGTGTGGCTCCTGATACCTGCATTAGTTTTGATGGCTGGCATACAGGTCAGTTGGTCTCAGGAAACAGGTTTTTCTGAAGTGCTCAGCGAGGGCTGTTTGTCTCATGAGCGCTCTGAACACAGCACCCGACTGCGTGGAACAGGGAAAAGGTACATCAAAACGCAGAAGTAAAAATCCCAGTTCCCTGCCAGGGATCCTGGGCTTGGCGTTGCATTCCTGTGTGCGGCAGTTCCCCGTCTGGACAGAGATCAGTCGTACCCACTTCTCTCTACTGGCTTCACGCTAAGCGAATGAAATCGAGTTCACTTGTTACCTGTGTGGCGTGAAAATAGTCTGTGAGAGCTGAGAATTGCTGCAGCTAGGAATTCTTCCAAGTGACAGGGTAAGCAATACACAATTAATTGCAATTAATGGCTACGCTGTGTTCCTGTAGCCGGTAGTGCCGATGCTCGGTGCTTCCGCCGGGCTGCAAACAGCCCAGAGCCCCAAAGCAGGCTGCTTGAAGAACAGGATGAGTTTGGTAGATGATGGTTATCAACATCGGTGCAATGAGATCGGTTTCATTAAACCTCTGCAGTCAGACGTTGTATATTCTTGTATTTCTGCTGCTGCTCACTAAGCAGCCAGCTGTCCGGTGCCAGCAGGACTTTGACACCTCCAGTGTGCAACCCAAGAGGAAAAAATCGTGCAAATGAACTTGTTCAATAATTAACTGCATGCATGTATGTTGCTTTTAATGAGTCTTTCTCCGGACTTAACTATTGAAAGGTTGGGTTTCAGCTTCTTTGGTCAAATGTAGTGAAGATCTTAACAAATGTTTGCTCCATGTCAGAAGCTGACCAAGTGGTGATTCGGTGTGCTGTAGGAGAAGTCTTATTGCCTCTTTTTATCCTATGTCAGCTGGTTTTGTAAGTGGTAAGCTATTTCTCAGGTATCTTTGCACACTATATACATCTGTTGTATTCACCAGACATTACACACATATATACATATTCTCCATCCATTTCCAAGCGACGAGAGGAAAGCTTGGCCTGTGTGTGTGGCAAGAAACGTGGACAAGAGGAGAGCAGCGAGCTTCCCGCTCCGGTCTTTCTCCCCGGCTTGCTAGGTCATGCCTGGTGCATGTTTGTGTGCCTCGGTTCTGCTGTCAGAACGAGGAGGTGAACGTTTGGGATTGCTCACGGGATCAGAAATTCTTGAGCGATTCTAAACCCGTATCAAAACATGAGATGGAAACTTTTGAAGAAAAAAAAAAAAAAAAAAAAAATTGTGCCAGAGTTTTTGGACCAGCTTTTATACCTGAACTCAAATTTTGCAATAATGAGTTGCACATACATGCAAATACTGAACCTACCTCTTTTTTGTCCTTTCTTTCAACTCTCTTTAACCACAGCACACATCAAAGTGTTACCAAAAGACTGAGCGTAGGAATTTATGTTTGGAGAGCATTATCCATAGATGACTTCATGTTTATTCCAGCCTTCCCTGTTTTCAGGTTCTGAAACGCTTTTGTAATTTTTTCCATTTGATTTGAATCGAAGCCATTTTGAAAAAGCAAATTATTTTGGATTCCTTAATGCAAACTTCCAAAATTTATCTCCAGCTTTAATAAAACTCTACTGCTCAAGCCTTTTTTTTTTTTTTTTTTCCTGAGCTGTAGAACACAGTGAATGAGAATAAATAGAAGCTGGCATGTTTCTTCTTGTGCAGTTTTATTGGTGTGCATGTTTGTTCATTTGTCTGTTAACTTGTAGAATTCCATGATCTTACAAAGTGGTTTGCGGTTTGGTATGAATTGGTGAGACTTTCCTATTTTTCACATTTTAACCGTTACTGACATTTTAATGCAGTAGAAACAATGCAGCAGAAGAGCCACAAGTTGTTTTTTATTTTTTTTGTATTTTTTGAAAATAGCCATTAGATGTTATGGTGCTTTATTGCCCTGCTTTTAGAAGGTTTTAAGAGGTTCTTGATGGATTTCTGGGCCTGTCTTTCATGGGGTGTTACGGAGGCACATTGATCTGTATTTGCATGCCCAGCTGCCAAAAAGCCTGCTAACAAATTGGGTGACAGACACTCCAAGAGCTGTCTTTTCTTCACATCTCTTGATTTGTAGGGTTGGCTGGAGCACTTGCTGGTTTTTAGGTACAATACCCAGGTTGCCCCGTTTAGGATCTGACTCTTTACCTCTGCTTGCACAGTCACACGTCGTGTCTTCTCCATTCTTTATCTCACAAGTGCGGGGAGCCTGGCTGCTGCCCTCGGCGCGGAGCTGAGCGGCAGCACGTTGGGCTTGCTTTGCTCAGAGCTGAGGGACTGCTGGAACGCCCAGTGGCACACGGACAGCTGCGTTTTCTTGTAAAAAGCAGCACTGCGTGCTGTACACTGCTGTAACAACAATACCACTGAAGCAAGAGGTCACATTGATCCACACTGGAGTTCACCGGTACTACGCTTTGCACTGAGGTCAGTAATGAACTGAAACAACCTTTCCAGCATTTGCTTTCCTCCTCGCGATGCCAGCGGAGGAGCTGGGAACGGCCTCCTGGAGTTTTCAGGGAAACTCATTGTTCACGTAAACCCTGGGAAGGAATTTCCCTTCCTTCTTGGCCTGCTAGGTATGCAGCGAACCATTCAGTTTGCTTTAGCTGCATACCATCTGCATTTTATTTTTGTTTTGTTTACTGACTTTCCGCCCGTGTCGGTCCTTCTTTTAGCGTGGGTATATTGTTGTGCAGCCCACCTTTGTCAACAGGGCTCTGCCACTCTTTGTTCGCTCCGAGCAGCCTCGCATTATGCAAGTTGGGGTTTGGAACAGAGCTCCTCTTGGAAAAAAAACTGAAATTGGGGGAAATTCTACCTGTATTGTGCCTGCAGGAGAATGGGCACTGGCCGCTTTGATTGTTTAGGGCCGCTGCTGTTTGTCTGGCACACGTGCAGTTCTGCACTTCGTACTCACGTAGCACTGTGTGCAGGGACCTGCAGTCCTTGGGGCGTGCTGCTCGAGCGAGGAGCACAAACCCAGCTTCTTCCTTCTCCACCACTTGTGGCTCTGCTCAGCATCTGCTTTTACTTTCCCTCCGCTTCTTTCTCCCCTCTGCTTCAAGCTTTGCTGGAAGAATCGCTCCTTCCTGAGATGCCTTTAGCCTCAGTCACCGCTGTTTCATGGCGAAGCTGGTGCCGCAAGGAGATCCCAGTCCCAGAGCATCAAAGATCCCAGTCCAACATCATCAGAGATCCCAATAGCACAGCACCAGGGCTGTTGGAGCTGGAGGAGCCCCGCATGCAGTTGGGTTTGTGACGTCCCTAAGCAGACCGTTCAGGTGGTGACTTCGCTGTGGCCAAACACCACAGCAGCGATGCTGATTCTGGACTAAACCCTGCTGCTGGAGGCTTTGCAGAGCACCATGCAAGGAAGGTCAGCAGCTCAGCACAAACCCAGGGGGCTGGGTTAGAGGAACGTGACCCTGTGGCTCCAGGACCCAGGCTACATCCGCGCGTTCCTGCGGTGCCGTGGCCAAGCTAATCAAACCACCCCGAGATGCCAGGAGCTGGCTTTGCAAAGAATAGCATTGTTATTGACGGTTTTTCATTAACCAGGTTGCCCCAGCTTCCTGTTACCTGACATATTTGAGAGTTGACTGTGTTGTATTATGTTGGAGTTCCTTACTGAACTTCATGGTCCAGAAGTTTGGCTGGCTTCTCCTCGGAGATAGCTCCAAGCCGTGTTCTCAGCAGCATTCACGATCCAAACATTACCAGATTGTTTTGCTAGACAAGCCTTTAGTGTAACACTGATCAAAATCTAAGTCACCGTGTTCTTTCTTCAAAGCTAGGTGAGAATGAGAAATCAGTCAATGTTCACTAAATAAAAATTCCTTCTTCTGTACAGGATTTGCATCCAACAGCACTGTGATGCTAGGCCTGGATGACCACACTGAGCAGAATTGTCTCCTACCAGGAGTTCTTGCTGTTAGGTAAATCAAAACATGTTTGTTCAGAGGGTGACTCATGGAAAGCTAAGTAAAAGTTTTATAATCAGATCCTTTGGAAATGCTAAATGGCACATCACAATGAAATCGTTAAAGTCTCCTTACATAAATTGTTTATACGCTGCTAATCCTCTTCTACAGTGAAAAGAGCACTGAGTGGGGCTTTAGTACAGAAAGTAAGTGCAAGCTTCAAGCTACCTGTGCTTCCCTGACCTCTGTGACTGGGCTGAATTTGAGTGCACTGCCTGATTGTAAATCTAAAGATCCTACCTGAATCCAGGTGGAAGTTCCTGGTGCAGAATACTTCCCAAATCCTTCCTGCTCAGCAGAAGGGATTACACTGACTCCTGCAATGGAAGGAAATGGCACAAAATGCATTTTGCTGTCAGTGTTTCTGCAGTGAAATCCCGTCCTTCCTTGCATTGTGCTGTACCTTATTGCCAAAGTCACCCTGGAATCCTAGTTGATCCTCTCCATTTGCATACCTCCTAAGTCCTCAGTATTCCTTCTTGAATACTTGCCTGCTGAAACCTGGGAGAGACCTTTGGTAACCACTACGTGCTGTGGAGAACAGCTGACACCTGTCAGAGGACTGATAAAGAGCCCTGGACGAGGTAGCTAGCCTGCTGGGAACGAAATAACTGGGCTCAGCTGGAAAAAATTAACCTAAGAGCTTAGGATCTGTCATCTTTCTTGTGGCGTACGTGACAAAGAGGTCTAGCTTTCAGAGGCACTGCAGCTTTATAAGGCATAGAGAAGGTTTTGTTGAGTTAACTTGGTAAAAATGTCTGTATTGTGTGTATATCCGGAGGGGGCTCAAGCAGAGGCTAAAGAAAGTTAGGTGAAAACAGACTTTAGGCTACCCAAAGGCTGACCTGTATCTCCGGGAGGTGCGATGACTTAATAAGAGTGGTGTGGCTGGGAGGAAGTGTACGTAGTCAAATTTTCCCTCCTACTTCAACATTCAAATGTGGATTGTAAATATAGAAGGCGCTGCCTTCGTCGGGTGACCTTTCCTTGGTACTGCTTGTCCAGTTGCTCCATAGCCTTACTTCTCGAAGAGGGAAATACCAAAAGGTAGCATCGGCAGTGCCAGAGTGAATTTGCTTACACGCATGTAAGCACAACTGGTATTGTGAAATGGAACGAGTGGGGCATAGGGAATTTCCAGATCCCAAGATGAAAATAATTTCAGAGAAGTATAGACAAGTTTGAAGCAGTACCACGGTAAACGAAAGTTGTTAGGTCCTTTTTTTGCTGCCACCCAATTGTGTACTTTTTGGCACTGGAGATGTGTTTTTTTCTTCACGAGACTCAAAAAAACATGAACAAGCCTGCATGGATTTTATAACACATGATACCTTTATTTCGGGATCATGGGATTGGGGTTGGAAGGGACCTCAGGAGGTCTCTAGCCCGACCTTCAGCTCCGAGTAGGATCAGCTCTCTCTGGCTTTCACCTGGTGCCTTTGCTGTAACCGAACTTTTAAATGGAGTTGTGATTTAGTCTTTGTAGTAAAAAAAAATCTCAGGCCGAGTAGAGGCTGCCGATCAATTAATTGAGTTTTAAATCACACTTGTTAATGAAGTACTGTCTGCCTTCCAAGAGCAGCTGCGCCTTTCTGCATGGAGGAGAAGAGGATAAAGGGAAGAACAGACACACCAGTCCCAGACTTCCTTTCACCAATCATCCCCGGATGGATTTTCTCTGTTTGCCAGTTACACTTAAACTAAATTTTAAGTTATTTCAGCTCTGGGGCCGCTCTCTGAGACTTGTCACAGCCCAAGAGTCAGCTCAGTGAGGTTCAAGGAGCCTGACGGTGTAGGGCTGCTGCGGTTTCAGTGACCATTTGAAGCTTGACACGTGCTCTGCCCACTTGTTCTCAACACGTGTGAGCACCATTGATGAGCATGGCTAGAAAAGTGTACACTTCCACGTATTTTTTAATTTCTATTTTGTTGCTTTTGGTATGATGGTGATGAAAAGTACCTAGGCAAGGCTGCCTGCTTGCCTGTGGGCTGCTGGTTGTAGGACAGGCTCGCTTTCTGTCACTGCCCTCTTCAGGACAGACCGTGGCTCATCTCTCATATCCGTGTGTGTCCCTTCTCTTCGTGACCTTCCCTGGTCGCTGAGGCTGTGCCTTCGCAGTCCCGTTACCGAGCCAGTTGGCTTGCAGTGCTGCTGAAAGGCATGACCCCATTTTTATCCCATTTTTGGATCTTGTGCAGTGCAGGAGTCATGCAGCCAATGGACCAGATGGCAGGAAGACACACCAGGTTGCCCTGCAGCAGAAATGGGTCTTGCACTGGATTCAGCTGGGCTTGCTGGAAGCGTTGGAGATCTCCTGATCCATCCTTACCTAGCAGAGTTTCAGGCAGGTCAGTAGTCCGTATGAGGTCAAAGCAAGGTCTGTTGGGACCTTGCTTGGTTGTAGGATTTCTTTTTGAAATTCCTTTAAGATCAGCAATAAGACAGTTACCCAAATTTCATAAACCTTTCTAAAATTTCATTTCTTGAATCAATGTGTAGACATAATGGACTGACCTAAAGAAGTGGGAGCACTCCCCGTGAGGACCAAGTCCCCTCTGGGCCTCCCTGCCCCATGAAAGGTTGGACCCCATGGTTTTACAAAGTCCCTTCCAGTCCAGGTTGTTACACGATACAATCGCTGAATTTATTTGATGAAATGGCAATCTTGTGACCCCTTAAACTAAATAGACTGGAGAGAGAAGTGGGAAACTGGATTATTTTTTGGTGTGTAACTGATGGAGCTCAGCAGGACAGGACAGCAGAGTTCCTGGGTACCAGCAGAGGCCTGTGGGGAGATGTGGGTGCGTTTACTGAAGGAAGGAAACCTGTGACACATCTCAGAAGCATCCAGCAGGCTTGGAAGGACAAAAATGCAGCTAATCCCTTTGAAAAGCGGGAAGCTGTGCGTGTTAAAAGCGGTCCTTGCTGCAAGTGGCAGCTCTCAGCACTGCTTGGCACTGCGGCTTGGCCAAGCAGTCTTGGCACAGAACCCGGCCTTGACCAGGAAATGATTTTCTCTGTAGCTCAATGTCAAGGGGAGGCAGCTTCGCTTCTCTTTGAACGCACACCTGGAAAAGGTGGTTTTAAAAATGATTCTGCTTGAGCAAGTTTATAAAAATCTGCCTGGGTGACAATAAATGTTCCTCGGCTTTGCCCTGAACAGCCTCTTCCTTTGAAGTTACTGTGGCTTCTTTGTCTGATGTTTTTGTTATTGGGAGAAATATCTCAAACCCAAAGATTTACAGGGCAACATCCACGTTATAGAAGACCCAGAGGAGAGGAGGAACAAAGTTATAAACAAAAACGAGTGCCCTGATCCCAAGACCAGGTTTACAAGATGAAGGTATTTTTCCCTGCTGGGCTTAGCCCACATTTTCCTGCATAATGGCAGCTTCATCTGGAATTTAACAAAATCTTTGTTCCTTTCCATTCAGACTCAAGCTGCAGAAGAATTTCTCTTCTCATTGCAATCAACCCTTGGCTGCGGTGGAAAGAAAGGATGTCTGAAAGTCTGCATTATGGTTTCGTTGTGGGGTCAGATAGAAGCTGAGGATGCAGCTGAGAGAATGAAATGTTTAATCTCAGGCTAATTGTAGTGGTAGCTGGCAAAAATGGGCAGTGAATGAGGGCTTTATTAAAACATATTCTCAGGTGTCAGCGTTGGTTTCTGTCAGATCTGTAACACACAGCAAAACTGTTTCAGGCACGAATGCAGAAGAGGCTTAAACCTCCCTCAGAAGAGACTCTCGGAGCCAGCAGAAACACCCCGGTAGGGTTTTCTTCCTTGAGTCCTGTTGGTTTTCTTCTCAGTGTTCCTCTTTGCCAGATCTCTTGTATCAGGGCACAAATTTCAAGAACCATCGGTTCCAAGTTCCTAAGAACCACCTGCAGCAAATGGCCAGGCAGGGAGTAGCATCACTGAGAGGAAGGGGGAGAAAGCTGGTGCTCTGGGGACGTGGAGCCTGCTGTTACCTTTGGCATCTGCGGTATTATTTCAGATCACAGCTTGTTTTCTGCTTGCAATAGTTTGTTGTTTTTTTTTTGCAGAGTAAATCTGAGGACTTCAGGCTATAAGTGTGACCGAGGAAAAAAGCACAGCCCAGGGAGACTGGGATGGGAAAGTGAAGGGAAAGGGAAAGTGAAGACTTCACTTTGCCCTGCCTCGGTGCAGAAGGAGAGAAGACACGGCCGTAGCTTTCAGCCACAGCAAAAGCAAAGATAGAAGTGTGTGTAGGTTGATAAACAGGGACAGGAGCCATAATTAGTGCTGGGAAAGCACCCTCGTGCTCTCCAGGCCTCCTCGTGGAGCCGCGCGGTGCCAGCCAACGGCGGAGGAGCCACAGGTTGGTGCCAGCGATTCATATCCACTCGGTGGAGTTGCTTTGAGATTTGCAGATGATACAGCTGCTAAGTGCTGTTATTAATGTTTCAAAGCTTCTGGCTCCCGTTTCCATACGTGGATCATCAGCCTGTCTTCCCTTGCCATTTTAAAATAATTGGATGACCTGAATATCTTCGAAGTAGCTGGAGTTGTTGCTCAGGCACGGGCTTTACAAATGAAATCTTTCATCTGATACACTTAATGTTAATTTTCCTTCTGTAATGGGATTCTCTTTACCCAAATTTACATGATGGAGCTTGCAGCCTGCTGGAGATGTTCTCCTCCAGTGGTAAATGTGCCCAAGCATCTCGCAGTATGTGGTGAGAAACACGTAGGTAGCTGCTCGTGTGCCATGCGCCTTGGCGGGCAGACCAACAATGAGGGGTTTGTGCGGTTGTTGCTCCAACAAGACTTCAGAAAAGCGCCGGCCTGCCTGCCTGTCACTTCTGTTGTTGTACTTTGCTCTTGGTGACATCACTGGTGGCAGCTAAATGGAGTGTGTTAATTGTTAGATGCTCTTTGCCCAAGGATGTTGACTTTTCCCAGCACCCAGTCCTACTCAGCCAGTTTGGCAGAAGAAGCTCCGCCAGCCAGAAGACGGCCACTTGGTTACGGGTACTGCTGAGAGAGGAGTCGGTCTGTTCGTGTAAATGGGAGGCAAATAATTAAGGAGAACTAAAAGCCACGTGAATCATCTTTATGTTTTCACCATCTCCCTGATGATGACGCAGAGTCAGCTCTGGAATTAAAACCCCTCCACTGTGTTAAAAGTCATTTGAGATGCCTCTGAGATCAGTGCTGTTCTCCAGGATCGCCTCTGCAAGGTGAAGATCTCCAAGTGCCTTACGAGTGGTGAGGGATCAGGAGGTGTGATGTGCCATCACGACAGACAGACAGATTTCAGCTGGCTATAGCCCACACCACGGCATGCACGCTGCCCTCAGGACAAGCTCTCAGCACTCAGGCATGAAGAGCTGATGTTAATTTTACCAAAACCTTCCCTCCTGGTCCCTCAGCTTCTTCAGAAGGCTGTCATGTGCCTGTGGTTGTGCTCTGGGGAGGCCTGGCGGTGAAGTTCAGGGGACTCTCGTTGCTAACCCTTGGTATGTCCAGAGCAAGGCGGACTGCCCAGGGGGTTTCCAGATCTGATATTTGAAGTGAAGCAGTACTGCAGAGGCCAGGGCAGTGTCAAGAGCTTAAACTCTGTGCAGTAATAACCACATCCTCCCCATTGTCCTTGGGGTCCATCCTCTTCTCAGCCTGCCTCTCTGGACAGGGAGAGCTTAGCTCTTGATGCTGTGCTCTAGGGATGGCTCCCCAGCAGTTCCCATTTCATCTTCCTCCCCAAATCATCTCCCTCCATGGCTGTGTCCTCTCCACAAACGTAAATTTGAGGTGACAAATGGTGCTGGGTGGTGCTGAGCTGGAGACTTGCTCGGTAACATCAGTAGGAAATGCAGTCCGGAGCTGGTGGTGCACTTTGAACGTCGTG